TTTTTTTTTGAGTATAAATATAGGGACCTGAGGAACTCATGAAATGTTAGACTTCATAATTTTTATAAAACTGAATTTTTTTTTTTTTTTTTTTAGTTTCAAAGTGCTAAAACATGAATATTTGCATAATTTAAAGCATTTTTGTAATTGGAAGAATATGTCTATAAACAATGGTTGCAAAAATAAAAGCCGGATAGACTTTTGTGTACAATATGTATATACATAGGCATTATTTTTAAAGTATAAAGTATCTTCAAAGAGAGTACTTTTAAAACAATTATCTATAATTTTATGATTAGTAATGCTTAGAACTATATTCAAGGCCTCAAGTAATAAAATATTCAAATATAAAATGAAAAAGTAACGAAGCTCATCTGAACAAATCTTTCATTGAGTTCTCACAGAAATTACGATAAGTATATGAAACAAAGCACGAAGGTCAGATTCCAGTGCGTGCCCATTTACTCTAGCCGCGGGACCCCCTAATATCGCGTTCACCTTTTATCCTAAATATATGCGAGGGAACTTTCTCATCGCGTCGGCAGAAACTGAGATCTTCATTTCGATCAGTTTGGCAGGAAGAAAAAGTAGGAATTTTGTACCTGCATGCAACACCCTGAAGGAAGCATGCAAATAACATGAAATTTACAACATGCATTAGCGGATGTTAGATATGCAAATGATTAGAAATTCAGCGCAGACGCACATCACGCGCGCATGTGGCGCCACTTCAAAGCGCTATTTAAGGTTTGGAGTTTTCGACGATTTCAAGTTCGGCAATTGTGTTTTTCTTGTAGCTTTTTTAAAAAAACGAACAATTATGCCTCGTAGTAAACAGCGATCATCGTTTGATCAAGTATCCGACTTCGACAGAGGAAGGATAGTGGCCTACCGAGAGTGTGCATTATCTTTCAGGGAAATCGGCAGTCGTGTTGAAAGAAACCAAACAACTGTAATGCGGATATGTGACCGTAGGATGCAGGAGGGTACGACGTGTTCGATCGCATCCACCTCAGTGCACCACTTCACGTGATGTAAGGAACACTGTGCGCATGGCAGTGACGGATCGCTCAGTCACATCACGAACCATAGCGCAGCACATTCAGTCTGTAACGCATCATGCAGTGTCTGCGCGTACCATTCAACCCCGTTTATAGCAGAGTGGTCTGTCCGCAAGACGTCCATTACTTCGTCTACCTTGACGAAGAACCACAGACGTCTCCGCCGCCAATGGTACCATGAAAGAAGGATGTGGACGCCAGAATGGAATGAAATTGTCTTTACTGACGAGTCACGCTTCTATCTGCAACACCACGATGGTAGGATTCGAGTCTGGAGACACCGTGGAGAGAGGATGCTGAACAGCTGCGTTATGCACCGCCACACTGGTCCTACACCGTGTATTATGGTGTGGGGAGGTATTGGATATCACTCTCGCACTCCTCTAGTACACGTTGCCGGTACTTTAAACAGCGAGTGCTACATCTCCGAGGGGTTGGAGCCAGTTGTCCTTCCTTACCTTCAGGGCTTGCCCACAGCCATATTTCAACAGGATAATGCGCGATCACACGCGGCACGCATTGTGCAAGGGTTCTTCGTCAATAGCCAGATTGAATTGCTTCCCTGGCCGGCACGCTTTCCGGATCTTTCACCGATAGAAAACATGTGGTCCATGGTAACGGTTGACCCAGATTACATCCCAAGCTGCCACACCAGATCAACTTTGGCAACGTGTGGAAGCTACTTGGGCTGCTGTACCCCAAGAACACATCCAAAGGCTCTTTGAATGAATGCCGAGGCGTGTGGCAGCGGTGATCTCCAACAATGGCGGCTACTCTGGCTACTTATTCTGGAAGGAACCACACTTCACAGAAGTCTATAAATTTAATCATTTGATACTTGGTCAACATGTTATCTATTAAATAAATTTTGTTGTGATATCTCTTGTCTTTCTTGGTGTTGCAATTTGGATGGCCAGCAGTGTAAATTCGTTCGTAAATGTTTACTGACTTGTTAACTAACACTAGTTAACTTATCCTTAAAATAATTCAACTTTGGATTTACTTCTAGTAGTAAGTATTTGCTTGAGGAAACGTAAATGTTTGATATTTTAAAATTAACTTTACGGGAACTCTACGAAATTTGAAGTAATCTCTTCTTGTATGTAGGCACATTACTGTAATAAATCTGATTTCATAAATCATCGCCATGAAATCCAACATTTCAAAACAACAGAACTGTCCATTAGCCAAAGCCTATATCAATATACCACTGGCCTGAAAAAGTTAAGTAACAGCATGTTTTTTAAAGCTCACCATTACCAAAAATGTCAATAACGTTTAAACTCACAGTTCATATGCATGGCAGTAATGAAATTTAAGAAATATATGCAAAAACAATAGCTACCACTTTTATTTTATAGAAATGAATACTTATATAGGAGTTGGAGGAAAAAAATGCAAAAGTTGTAATTTTTGTTCACGGGTGTTGATATTTAATTGTTATTACAGTTTTGTGGACAATATGCAGAAGAGTCTATCAATGTCCTGGAGAAGTCGTTTGCCTAATTCGTTGAGGTGGCGGACGATCGGTGGATGAAAATGGAATGTCACAAGCTGATGCTGCTAGACGTCTCAGTGTCTCTCATAGTGTGACCCACTGATTATGGAACAGGTTGAATCCGAGGATTCTGTGTATAGAAGACATGTTCCAGGCAGATCTAGAATTACAACACCTGTGAGAAACCGTAATTTAGCTCTTTCGGCTGGAAGGAAGAGTATCATTACTGTGCCTCAGCTCATGGCAGACCATTTAATGGCAACAGGAACAAGAATTTCGGCAACTACAGTGCGCAGACGCCTGCATAATACAAGTCTGTACGCAAGACGATTAGTTGTTTGTGTCCCCTTAACCCGAGAACTCAGAGGTGCCCGTTTATGCTGGGCAAGAGAACACGTCTCCTCGACCAGTCAAAAATGGGCGTCTGTTCTTTTCACAGACGAGTCCAGGTTCACAATGGAGAGTGATTCAGGTCGTCAGCTGATCTGGACGGAACAACGCAACAGATGCAGACAATCCCATATTGTGGTTTGGGCTGGGATCTCTCTTGGTGGTCCCAGTGACCTGCACATGTTCTATGGAGGAAATTTGACCAGTGTGAGATATCGAGTTGACATTTTTTTATCAATATGTCTGCCCATATGCCGCTGCTATTGGTCCTGGATTTCTTCTGATGGACGACAAGGCGTGACCGCACCGAGCTCAGGTTGCGGAAGAATATCTTGAGGGTCAAGGTATGGAGCGGATGGAATAGCCCAAGAATATCTTGAGATCAAGGTATGGAGCGGATGGAATAGCCGGCTCAATCCCCAGACCTGAATCAGATAGAGCATCTTTGGGACTGCCTTGGGAGACAGGTTGTCCTCCTCCAAGGTCGTTAGATGAGCTTAAACAAGGTCGTGTCTGGTCGTTGCTTTCCATTTCACTGACCGACAACTTAATTGACACCATGGAACGTCACTGCCGCCAATGTATTGCAGCTAGGAGTGGACGCATTTCTTATTAGAACCCATTTTTGTAATGTTACCACCCCCATTTTTCCTCAAAAAAAACCTGTGATATACTGTTTCTCCAAGACTGAATTTCTCTTCCAAGAGTGCAGTTTTTGTTGTAATTCATGTTTGTGTTGAATTTTAGAAACATTCTATGTCGTATTTATTATTAAAGAACTGTCTAGTGAACATGTCCTGTAAATTTCTTGTTTCTATGTTGCTTCATTCTGAAATTAGACACAAAGACATGCTGTTCCTTAACTTTTGGAGGGCAGTGTAGATCAGAAGCTGCAATTTCTCAAAATATAAAAATTAACTGCGTAGCACCATTCAGATGGTCACCCAGTGACGTTTAACACCTAGGAGATCTCCGCACATGCTAGGGATCTTGTGTTTCAAGAAACTGCTAAAATGACTTCTATAGTATAATGAAATGACTGTTAAATTGACTTCTATAGCCAATAATATTAATACATATATTTTTAGATGAAGAAGATTTTTACATTTTTGTTGACTTTTCCGTCTTATTAAATTTCGTTTACTCATTTTGTTTAAAATGTTATAAGCAAAGACGAAAAATCACGTAATTTTACGTGTACATCATTTACTAAGGTTTAACTTTCGGTTATATGAGATCAGTTCTAAAATTATAAGCAGGGATGGGAAGAAATAAGCAGATAAAATTTCGAGCATAAAAATGCTGTTTTGGTTGCGGTTTCTGGTGGCTGTATGAGAGGTTGAAGTTATTTTTGCTGCTGCTTATAAAATATCAAAAAGCTAAATATAATATTTAAATGAAAGGAAAATAATAGAACTGATAAACCAATTAAATAAAATTTATTAGAATAAGATTTGTACAGTAGATAAAATTCATTAGGAGTGAATTAGGAAAATAAATCGAAGAAAAGTCACGTAAAGAAAGCATTGCACATAAACGTTTGAGATTCTGTGAATATTTGCGACTATTGCAACTGGAAAAGTTCATTTTCAAAACTTTTATAAGAAATAATCTGAAAAATCGCATGACACAACCATACTTTTCTAAATTTGATTGGTACTTATTGTGGCAAATTTATTTTGGCTGATTGACTTCGTTGATGTAATCCACAGCTTTATATTTTTTAATTGTCGGAAACTTGCTGCGCACCGATTACTTTGTCAAAGAAGGAATGTTAATTTTATGTCTAAGAGTAAAGCTGATTTTCATTTCTAAATCTGAAAGTATTTATTTAACGTACAATTATTATTTCTGTTGTTGTTATAAATAAACTGTCATAACAACCGGAGCTCACACAGTTCTTGAAGTCCTCAAATTTTTTACAAGAATGCATTAAAAAATTAATTTCAACGGTATGCCTTAAAGCAAAATATGTTAAATATTTCAAAAAGTTTATTAATTATAATTATAACTAGTGAGAATAGCTAGACCTAGCGATTAATTACACTTACCCTGGCATTATATGCAAGTAAGCTTTAAGCCACCGTAATCCTCTTTTCATCAAACCTAAAAAAGAAGTAAAATTTATTTCCTGCAAAGGAAGGGTATAAAGCAACAGAAAACTGCTTAAATCTTGAGTTAGGTTTTTATATATAACAAATCTATAGTAATAAATTTACAAGGTTTATATTAAATTTTAAAACAATTAAAATGTAATCCTAAATATAATTCATGTGTGTATTGTACAAATTATTTAACTGTTTCCTTATATATATATATATGTATATTTATATTATTTCCCAGAAAGCAAGATTTAATTTATAATTCAAAATCATATTAATTGTTATTTATCTGACATTAAGCACAGCTTTTTCCCGTCTGAAACGTAATAATATAGCTGTGGAGTAGTATTTTATTAAAGGCTGGTGCAATTTTTCTCTATTTCTCAAAGTGTGAAAACATGAAATTCAATTTATAAACATTAGATTAGCTCTCCAGTATGCAGCAGGATCGGAGAATATTGCAGGATTTTTTCCCAGTAGTGGCAAGGTTTAACCAAGAATAAGCTTTATAATCAGCAAAGAATGGAATTTTTATGGAGAATTTTACTTATGACTCAGTTTACATAGCTTCGACTTAGTCCATTATTTACACATAATTCTATACTCAGTTTTTTAGTATTTCTAAACATGTATTTTTTGCTAAGTATTCAATCTATTTCTAATGATAGTTGATCAGAAAAGTAAAAAGTTATTAAGTGTCATGGCCTTCTCCCTCTCGAAGGTCACGTTATATACCCTCAAGCCTGTGTTCATAATACAATTTGCTCCTCTTTCTAACTTACTATCGCCAAAACAACGCATTTCCATATTTATTGGTTGCAGTATAAAAGCAATTAGAAAAAGTGAGAGAAATCTAAGATGAACATAATTTTAATTGGACCATGTACATAATTTATAAATGATGAGTATGATCGATATATTTGTGTATATTTGTGTAGAGTATGATCGATATATTTGTGTATATTGTCTCAGTAAATTTTTCTGTTGGATTAGTTATTACTTAGTGAATTCTCTACATGTAAAAATAACAATATCTTCATTTTATCGATAAAACTATAAAATTAACTATGCTTTGAAATGAAGAATTCTCTTAATTAATTTCTAATATGTTGAAGCAGAGCACAGGTATTTTTCAGCCTAGGTGTGAAGCAAAAACGTTATTGTTGTATAGTTATTAAGAAACAAGTGTTTAAAAACAGCGTTATCAATTAATATTTACGCTAAGGTGTGTTTAGGAGGAAAAAATTATATTCGACTCAATTGAAGAGGTTGAAGAGGTCAAAATTGTACTCGGGTCGATTGAAAAACACCAGAGTCCAAAACTGACCCGAGTATAAAATTTGTACTCGGGGCAATTGAAAAGGTCAAAATTGGCCCACGGTTTTAATTTTATTGACAAAACAATTTGTAGAAAGATTTTTCAAGAGCAGAAAAAAAAAAAAAAAAAAAAAAAAAAAAAATAACTGTTGAAAGTGTAGAAGAAAATACACTCTGTGCGCTTATTTCAAATACATTTTACGAATTCAATTGTAAAAGAAATGTTGATTTGCTTCGAATTGTGTTATTACTCAACAATAATTTTTGTCGTATCAGAAATAGGCATGTATCTCGTATCCGAATTATGTTCTGTCTAAAAGTACATGTAAATCATCCAGAATGTGTGCAGAGAGCTTAAAAAACATTGCACGGTTATATATCTCTTCAAAGATTCGTCGTAAACCCACGGTTTTTTTTTTTTTTTTTTTAAAGAGTTAAATAAGCAGAGTTTTAGATTGCAACAGTTTTGCTCACATGACTCCTTTTAGTAAAAATATACGAAACTTTATATTTTATACAAGCCCCATAGAATTTGTCTCATTACTTAAAAAACAGCATTTTGCATAGACGTATCAGTCATCAAATTTACCTCCACATGGCCGAAACTTCAGTCATTAATTAAATTGTGGGGGACCATATACAAATTTTTAAACACAGCTGAACATATTAAATTTACGAATACACATTTTTAAAACATACCTTTCATTTCATAAAAACATTAACACAGAAACACAGGTTTCAGATTCTAATTAGAAGTGGCGTATAAATTAGAAACTATACACAAAAATTCAGGTTTTGCTTTTGCACTATCCCTTTCCTCGATTCTTTTAATCCTTTTAATTCCTTTTCCTCGATTCTTTTAATCCAGTGAAAAATAGTTCAAGTCAACTAGTTCTGAAATTTTTTAAGGGCTCATATTTGCACATTACAAATCTTGTTTCTTTTCTGTAAAATCTTTCTCAGGATAAAGAACATGGAGGTAAGAAGTTTACTTCTCACATGCATGATGAAGAATGGTTTAGTAAATAAAACATTCTTTGCAAATGCTCTGTACGATACTCTGAATTTCGCATATTTTTTCTAAAAAGTCACGTGATATGTGATAATACTACGAAACCCTACTTTGTTTGATTCATTTTTTAAACTGGAAACATGGCCATCTACCATCTATACAAGAGTTATTTAATTATATAATCTTTTTGAAGCTACTTGTACGTACTGAGAGAAAAATTATAATTCATTTACATGTGCTTTTAAATTTATATTATTCGTAAGTTCATAGACATAATATAATATTTAATATGCACTTGTGTAATATTTACTTGTGTATTCTTTTTTAAATAATATAGATGCATATAAACACATAAACAAAAGTTAAGAAACCTCAAATTAAGGTTATAAATTATTAAAGTTACACAGTATGCTACAAAATTAATTAAATAATGAAGTGATAATAATTAAATCAAAAATGAATGTCAACAGTCTAACAGGAAGTACATGCATCAAAATAAAAATTGAAACAGAAACCAAAGAGCTCAATGAAATAACATAAATACATCAAAACTGAAACAGAAGAAAAAAAAAAAAAAAAAAAAAAAAAAAAAAAAAAAAAAAAAACAATAAAATAATATAACAAACTATGAAAATTCTTTGGTCTTTTTCAAAGAGCGCCGGAAGAATTTTAAATTAATTTCAGAAGTCACATTTCTGAATTAAAAGCTGGATGATTATAAATTCTTAAAATTATTCAAAAAAAAGAGCCAAATTAAAATAAAAATTAAAGCTAATTAAAAATGCAATAAAGTAAAAACTAAATTTTAAAAAGTTTAATTAAACATCAAGATATAATTTTCTCCGACATGACTTTAAAACAAATAATACTGTAAAAAATAAACATTATAAAATACTTGAAATAAGAAACCAGAAAAACCAAGAGTAAATTTAAAGTAATGGGCTAAATATTTAAAATAAATTTTGAACCAAATGTGTGTGTCGCTACTACGGAATTATCTCAAAAGATAGAAAACTAGAAACGTTTCATTAAGTACATTAGGAAACAAGTTTTATAAATATTCAAAAAATTATTAGAAATTAGAAACAGCATTTAGGAAGCATTGTATTGCACATAAATGAATATGAAGAGAGCTATTAAACGTACTCTTTAACTCTGTCAGGAATACAAACATGATCCATTGGAATGAGTTCTTCCAGTTCCTGTAGGTTGTTGACAAAGCGCAATTTTCTGCTGAATTTGGAACTGGAAAAAAAAAAGAAAAAAAAAAAAAAAAAAAAAAGTGAAATTTCATAAAATGTGTTACGTTATCAGGTATTAAACGTATAAAGGTCTTTCGAGTGTGTTTCGAAAATAATTTAATTTTAAATCATTAAGCTTCTTGCGTGAATAACAGTATCAAGGTTATTTTGTCCTATCAAATCACTTTAAAATTTCAGCTCTCGAAAAATCAAAATTTAAATACATATTAAAAAATAAGAAGTGCATGATAATTATGTATATTAACCTACCTTATGAATGGCTTTGTCATTATAACAATGGTTTTTAACCAGAAGGTGGGATGGACAAGATAAAGTCCTTTCAAATTCTTTCTTAGTCTAAAAAATAAACCTAGCATTAATACAAAAATTTGTATTTTCATTTTAGAATAGAAACAAACAAGGCTCATAATTATGCTCACATTAAGTAACATGTATACTTGAATTCTAGACGGAATTTTTAATTTCATTATATTGTTAAAAACCAGTGTTTCAGAAGCCTAGATTTTTACTTAAAACTAGCTGAATGCCTTTCCAGAACAGTGAGGAAGTAAAGAATACAGATGTGGTGTTCCTATTTCCGAAGGAGCCCACTAGTGGCCGAGAAATAAAGTCGCTGAACACCAGTAGTTCGGTCCGAGGTTTGAATCACGCGAAGGGGTGGCTGCATGGGCGTTTTCGTGGTTTTCGTCATGTGTAACGTGTATACGAGCCAGTTTCCCTTAGAAAGTTCTCCACAAAGGCATTCCTCCTCGTACGCAGATAGCCCTTGATGCTTTAACATAATCACAGAAACCAAACCTACTTTCGAAAAGAATCAGCGTTTAGAAAACATTAATGAGTTTGACTAATTTTGTATAAATATGAATGACAGTACATGTAATGATTGCTTCCTTTTGTGATCATACAGTGGATAAAAAAAGTATTGGCAATTGCCTATAATTGATCATATTAGCTAACAAAGGAAATGCTTCACAATTTTAGCTGGACATAAAGAAAGTAGGAGGTAATAAACATACAAATCTAATGGAATTTTCATTTTAATATGCTTTTTACACAATATATACAACAGAAGCGTAAATTTGCATGTCAAAAAAAGTATTGGCAAGCTCATACAGCAAAAATGTGGGAACAAAATTTAATACTTTGTATTCATACCTTTTGCATTTATGACAGCTTTTTATTTTAATCTATTTCTCATAGAGAAAACCATTGTAATATTGGAAAAGTCTTGGTTGTACTATAAGGTATTTCTCTCGCGTTCTTAGCATGCCTTCGTAGTGTAGTGGTCAGCACGCTCGACGCGACTTCGAGAGGTCCGTGATTCGAGTCCCGAAGAGGGCATTGCTCATTTTTTATCTCTTGCTTTCAAAATTCCTAATGTCTCTACAGTACTATTGGGAATTTTGTGCCAGTCTTGCAGAACTATACGCTAAGGTTCATCTTTACACGAAATTTTATGTTTCCTGACTTCTAGGTTGAATAAATTTTCAAATTTTCAGTTGGATTAATGTCAAGTGATTGAGGCGGTGTCTTTAACTGGCAAAGAACGTTATAAAATAACTACTCCCAGGTGAGGTTCACTGTATGCTTAGGGTCATTGTCTTGTAGAAACACGAATGATGTTTCTAAGCCAAGATTTGAGGCACGGAATTTCAAGTTATGGCGCAATATGTCAATGTACGTACGTGCTGTCATAATACCATCAATAAAGCACAGATTACAATCTAAGTTTGCTGCCACACAGCGCCAAACTACGACGCTCTCCCCGCCATATTTCACAGTCGGTGTTAAATGGTTTTTTTCGATTTAGGAGCTTGGCTTTCTCCACACATATTGACGTCCATCACTCCTGACAATGTTAAACTTCGATTCGTCGGAGAAAATAACTGTGTTCTAAAACTCGTCTGACAAATTAACATGAAATTTTGAAAAATCAAATATCTTTCTCCTGTTTATTTCTGAAATGAAAGGTTTCTTTCTAGCTAGTCTTCCATAATAATTTATTTCATTTAAAACATTCCGCATAGTGTGTACACTAAAAGTTTTATGCGAAATATTAGCAACATCTTTGGCTAACTAGGGTACACTTATTTTAGGGTTTCTCCTAACCTCTTTGATAATGCCACGTTTTTCCCTCGCAGAAAATATTCGAGGCCGTCCACTTCTAATCTTATAATCGATCCTGTCTTACTGAACTTTTTTACAACACTTCTAACAGTAAATAAACGTATGTTCATTTGTATTCCTATAGCAGGATAAATTAGATCCTCATTTCTAGCTGGATAATCATGTTTTTAACATTAACGTCCAACTCTTTTTTTGACTTCGAAGCTATTTTATCGCAGTATTAGCAAAATAACGTTTTAAAAATGCACTGCAGACTTTATACTAACAGGGTTTCTTATCAGTCTAAACATGTGACCTCAACATAATAAAATTTGCATAGCAGTTAGGACTTTGCCAATACTTTTTTGACATGCAAATTTACGTTTTGTATTGTATAATTTGTAGAAAAGACACATTAAAATGAAAGTTTCATTAGATATGTGTACTTATTACTTCTTGTGTTATGTTCAGCTAAAATTGTCACGCATTTCTTTTGTTAGTTAATGTGATCAATTGTAGACAATTGCCAATACTTTTTTACCCACTGTATATGAACCTCTCTAAACTCATAATAATTTTGAAGGAGTAAAAAGGCATTATGATTATTAAACATTATGATTATTGAAGTTATTTAAACATTCGTAATAACTTTATCAGATGTGTTTTTTTCAACGAATTGCAATGCGCACAAGAGACTGCCGTCTATTTGGGTTCCATGTGAATCCTTTTCACTTGCAGCAGTGCAGCGGTATATTGAAGGCGAAAAGATTTGCATACCCTTAGATCCTGAAACTCATATTGAATGTCAGTGTTTTTGGATGCAGTGAAATCTCATTAGGTATACAAGAGTTACTGTTAAAAAATATATATGAACTGTAAGATCATTTTTAATGAAACTATTTACGTCATAGTAGATAAAACTTACGAAGGTTTCTCCGACTATAGCTCGATAGTGGTTGTGTTGATTAAGACCAGGCAAGTTAAGATCACTAGTCAATGGGCTGGCTTCATGATTAAAGTAAATAAGATTCTCTCAAAAGTCCTTCACAAAGGCACTTATCACCAAGACAGATAGTCTTCGTGTGCTTTGTTTTACTCAGTTAAACAAATAACTAACTCTCTGATTATTTATTTAACACTGTTTATAATCTATTATACTTACATGGTGATCTGATACAAACAACCAGCAGAGTGTTTCTAAAAAATCTAAACTTTCTAGTTGATACCCCCCTTTTTTTATACTTATCCATTGTAAAGTTGTAACAATTTGAGAAGTGGCCTTCTAACTACTTAAGTACCTCTACCAACCATTCACCCCCCCAAACATTACTTTACAGTGGCGACGAATTATCATCTTTAATTTAAACTGACTGTGGAAGCAACAGACATACAAAATGTAAAATCTTAACTTTATTTTCTCACCACTTGTGAGTTAACTTAAAATAATACAAATATAAAAATTAAGTCTCCTTAACTTAAACTACTAGTTAACTTTAATTAAAGCCGCGCTTACAAAATCTGTGCATAATGTTCGGCGTTACGGCGTTACAGAGCATGCGTCAGCAACTTCCAAAGCCCTTTTATGAAAATACGCTTATCAACTCTCAGTGACACAAACCTTATGATGTCGATCGCTTGTCTGTCGTATTTTTGTGGGTAATATATATTTTTAAAACGTACAAAAAATAATGATAAAATGTAGATCTACACATTCTCCTTTGTACAAGCAGGATACATCATACCTGTCATTTCAAAGTAGAATATTGTTGCGTGCGTACGGGTTCGTAATAGACTGAATGCTCAAGTCCGATAAAAAATTAACAAAATTTATTCTTATCGCAAGTAATATAACAAAAACGCTAGATTTTCCCTCAAAGATATTCGTACAAAATCACAGTATCACGCAATATAATCAGTAGCTATATTTTAAACTACTAAAACTATAAGGTATTTCTCCCGCCTTCTTAGCATGCCTTCGTGGTGTAGTGGTCAGCACGCTCGACGCGTATTAGAGATGTCCGTGGTTCGAGTCCGGGCGCAGGAATTGTTCATTTTTCATTTCTCTTCTTGGAAAAAATCCTAATGTCTCTACAGTGGCGCCCGAACTAAAAAGGGGTGAATGATGATACTTCACCATCGGGATTTGGCGATTGGGCTCCCTAAAACCCCAGTCGCCCTTTAAAACGGGGGTTATATAAAGTATTTCTCCTGCCTTCTTAACTTGCCTTTGTGGTATAGTGGTCAGCGCGTTCGACGCGTATTCGAGTAGTCCGTGGTTCGAGTCCCTGTGAGGGCATTGCTCATTTTTCATTTGTCTTGTTCCAAAAAATCCTAATGTCTCTACAAAACATTAAATAGAACGCAATCCAGAGCACAGAGAAAGCTAATTCGATCTCACCGCGAATTCGCTACAATCAACAAGCAGTTATCTAAACAACAACTAATCGGAGATCTTCTATCTCTGGCTTTTATAGCTTTTTAAATCGTCCGCACGAGAGAATTCTAGCAATTTCTGGAAACAAAAAGCTTAGAATTACGGTTACAGCTAACATTGTAGTCTACATTTATTCAAATTAAATACCAGTTATGGAAATAAACTTTTATTAAACGTTAAATGAACGTGCTCCTGCATTTTTACTTTTCTGGCGTAGCTTTCTCTTAAAATTCGTCATGCGAGTCATTGCACTGGGAAATAAAACAATTTTAATTACAATTCTACTAAAAATAGCCAACTAAATACAAAATCTATAACAATATTATATAGGGTGGGGCAAATAAAAGTGGGGGCCATATTTGCCCCACCCTGCAAACTAAGAAGTAATCTGTTTTGTGGGCCTTATGCTATTTTTTAAATACATTTTTTACTAATTATTAACTATTTTTATGTCATCCCTCAGATTAAAAAAAATATTTATTTATTATAGTATTGTATGGATTATGTTAATTTTATTAACAGATAAATTTTGAGTTAAACTTCCTTTCCTATCGTTTCTTAATTTCAACATACCACTTCCGGCCAGAACGTAATTTTAGAATCACGTCTGAATGCTAATGAAGAAGAGTGGTGTATAACCGCAAAGTTCTGCTGTCTTAGAGAGAGATATACCAGATATTCTGGCTGCACGCGTCCGCCTTTTTAGGCTACTCTCTCGTAAGCTATTATTATTCTCGGCCGTTAGGCCCTTGATAGCTTCGCAGTCAATTAGCGTTAAAGGGCCAACTCTGTTAGAATTTTGATAGCTTCGGCTATGTCTCTTTAGTTAAGATTAGTTTAGTATAATTCTTAGTCTCTTAAGTTGAAGTCCGAGTGTCGGCTTTATTGTACAACTCCGTTCTGTTAAATCTTGATTGGAATCTTGATGTTCTGTTAAATCTTGATTGGAATCTTGATGTTCTGTTAAATCTTGTTTGGAATAATAACGGGTTATTTTACCCTTCTATCTTGCTGTTTCCTGTCCCGCGAACTCAAGCGATTATTCGCTTACTAGTTCTTAAGATTCTTCACTTTTAACTGTAACTTAGAATTACACAGTAGAGAATCCTACAGTATGATTACTTTGACTTTATCCAGTTTTCATAAATTTACTAGATTACATTAATCTTTATTGTACGTATTAGTCTTAAAATTATATAATTAGTTTTCATATTCAAAATTTCAAAATGCAATAAATTGTGTTATGACGACCACCTCCCTAAGATTGCCACGTCTGAAAGTGATCAGTACTTTTGATAATATAAACAAACACTAAGACTGAATTTCACCTCCTTTAGACGACCGAGGTCGTCCTTTAGAGAGAATTATAATTTTTCTTCATATCTAGTCACGCTGGATTAAAAAATACAGAACGCCACTGATGTATACATGTATATGACAATCTTATTCATAGTTTCGATTGTGTTTTAAATGAAAGTGCTCGGAGTTTGTAATTACATCTCGTGAGTTTTAATTAAGTCTTTTCACTGAAATTTTATAATTTCACTTATATTTTAAATGCTTTGGATTATGTGCTAGTTGTTTGAAGGTGAACTATTATAATTAAAATACATTGAAATGGTTCATCGGCTGATTCCGGATACATAAAAGTAAGAGAAGAGAGATGTTGATTGATTTCAGTGTTCTGTGACGTTTAGACATATGCACCCGTCGAACTTCCAGGTGCTTAATGAGAACTATCTTTTTCTCAGCGACAGAATGGACAGCAGACCTTTGGAAGAAAGGTGCAGCGGGCCCTCCCCCTAGTGTGGTTTCCGGACATAAGGGACTAATTATTCTCTTTCCAGGATTTTAACGAAACGAGGAGAGAGCTTTGTGTAAAAAGCTTTTGATGCTGTAAACGAGTGAAAGCAGACGCATTTTAGCGTCTTAGCCGCGTTAGCGGCCTTTGCATGAATTATGGCTAAAATGATTCAATTATTTTAATATTTATTCAAGAATTTCTTATTAAGTTTTTTAAATAAATAGTTTAAAAGACAACCCGTCTTTTCTTTCACCCAACACGGGTGTTCTGACGTTACAGTTCCTTCTCCTGATTAAGTGGCATTGAAGTTGATTGAATTCCTTTTCTATTATGTTCGTTTTTCGTATTGCTTGTTTGAAGAGTTTTTGGTTTTAACATTTTTAAATTTCTTTTTTGCATTTGTAGGATTATTTGAAATTTATTATTTATGAATTTCAATTTTTGGTCTTTGTGAAAAATTAGTTCTAAATTTCTTACTTTATGTCTTTACTGATAATTTTTCAGCAGCTTAATGAGCGGAAATACTAGGCAAGATCATATTTTGTTTTAAAAAATTGTTTTGTAATTCTGAAATATACAGGATGATTCTGTGATCATGGGACTAACTTGGAGGGATGGTTGAGCATCTAAAACATGCATTTTGGGGATAGGAATGTAGGGTCTAAAATGTTAAGTCGCGAACGCAAAAAATGAGACGAGAGGGAAAATGAGTTTATTTACAAAATCAACGTAAAGCCCTTCTTTGCAGCAATACAGTATTCACAAGAAATGTTCAAAAGTACGACCACTAACAGTAATACGAACTACAGCTGTAACTTGCTGGCAATGAGGGCGGTAGTGGGCGGGGAGCAATGAGGGACGTAGATGGCAGTAGTGAGCCGGGCAAACCGCGATCCGATTGCATCATCGGAAGAATTACTTGGATGCTAATTTTGCGGGGCGATGGACTGGGCGTGGTGGACCAGTCCGATGCCCCCCCCCGTTCGCCAGATTTATCCAGCGTGGATTTCTTTTTATGGGGCATATTAAGGGCATCATTTACGAGACTCCCGTTGACTCGCTGGAGTACCTGATTACACGAATATCTATTGCGGCAACAAGCGTACGCGAAATACTTAACATTTTTCAAAGTATTCGACGAACTCTTCTACGACGCTATGAAGCATGTATTATTATTATGTTGCAATTTTGAACATTTCTTGTGAATACTGTATTGCTGCAAAGAAGCGCTTTGCGTTGATTTTGTAAATAAACTCATTTTTTTGCGTTCGTGCCTTAGCATCTCACTTTAGACCCTATATTCCTATACAAAAAATACATGTTGTAGTATGCTCAACCACCCCTCCAAGTTTGTCCCATCATGATCATAGAATCACACTGTATATATGCATATTATTATTATTATTATTATTATTATTATTATTATTATTATTATTAACATCTTTGTTGTATTTTTTTTTTTTTTTTCCTTTCTAATTTTGCCTTCTTTCCAAGTCGCAAGTAGCAAGTTTTATCAAGTATTGATCTTACCTTCTGTCTATCATTTGATAGCATCTCTTTAGCCAACCAAAAGCAGGCATACAGCTTCTTGAAGTTGCCCCGTGCAAGTAAACTAAAACATAATCTTCTGCTACTAGCTGAGCCAGCGTTGTCAAGACATATCTGAAATCAAAATAAATAAATAAATTTCTGAAGTAAGAGTGACTGAAGTTCAAACTGCCCATTTTAAAAAATTTAAAAATTCCATTATCCTAAATTTTTTTTCATTGGTTTATGGGGAGAAGTAGATGTACAGAATGCTTAAAACTGAATTCGCATGTTGTTTTATAGCAAAAATGAAAAATATATATGGCGAACGTAGATGCATTTAATGCCCCTTTTCAACAAGTGACCTTCAGTGATTCAATATCATTTCACTTTTCATGCTTTTTGTTTAATTACTGATTGATATTTCTAGGAAAATAAGGAATTCCAAATTTTTAAAAATTAGTTTAAATGCACCTAACTGAGTTTATCTTGTGAATAAAGAAGGCTATAATTATAATATGCTAAAGGTTTAAAGTACGTGCTCGGGGCGGACACCAAAGAATGACTTGTAGGGTTTATATTTATTTTAACTAACATTTATTTTAAGTTATCTTTCTTGTCTAGCCTTTACTTTCCCCTAGAATTGCCAATGCTAGAGTATGTAAATTGTAGTAGAGCGCGCAGTATATTCAAATTTTAGCAGAAGTAAGTTGAGTTTAAAATAGAAGGGAAACGAGATTGTAGGTGTGCTTCTTGAATCGCGAACGTGAATGTCGCTCGGTAGAATTTAAGAACCGCGCGTGTCGGCCTGTGTGCCTATCTCGGCAGATTTTGCTGGATCTTTCAACTGCTTAATCAGTAAGCTCGCTGAATTTCAGCGGTAATGTTAGAACGCGGTTAGGTTAGTTTAAGATCTCAGAGCCTCGTGGATAGTGATCTCGCTATTTATTCATCCAGTCATTATTTTTCAGTTCTACATTCTGTTTCAGTTAAACCTCCGGGTCGGCGTAGTTTGTGAGCGTCAAGTGGACGCAGCTGTTATTTTAAAAGTTGAATAAAAAGGGCTTTAAATCCTTCTTACGTTTCTGTGTAAATTCCCATTTAGTAGCAGTCACTACCACAGTTGCTGACAAGTTGGGGCCTCACGATATTACATACTTACAAAAATAGATTGTCCATGACGTAATCATAGTCAAGTCTGCTGCGGTCTGGTAGGTAACATGCACTGAATACAATGATAGCAAGATTAGAAGATCCGATGTAACCTGTAATAGTGGACAGAAATATATAACAGAAGGGGAAAATAAATGCAATTAAAAATTCATTTATGCTTTAAACATTCGTATATACGATATGGCATAAAAGTATATTAAAAAAAAAAAAAAAAAAACTCAGTGGCCCTAGTGAGCGACGGCCTGCAGTGCTCTTTTTCTGCATTCTTGACCTTTGGGCCCCGGAGTGCATCAGCATATGCCCTGGACAAGTGGTCAGCTTGTCGCAGGACCCCCGGTATTATTCATTCTAACTGATACACGGATAATTCAAAAATGACCTGTGTTGTCTCATGAATTATTACTAGCCGCTATGACTACACAAAATACTGATTACTTCCTGTTCCATTAGTCGAATTAGCTCTAATTTTAATCAATTAACTCTTGTATCTTAAATTGTTCGTCCATGAAACGTGGCTATAAACGTCTTTTGTTTTTCATAATGTTCCATTCTGAATGGTAAGCTATGTGTTTCTATAAATTATTATTATGAACAAACAAAGACAACTGTCTTCATTGCTATAGCACATCCATCATATGATATTTGAATAGTCTATAAGGCGTGTTCACCCTTTTTTCCGCATACCTTCGTGGTGTAACTGGGTAGCATGTCTGACTAGCAGTCAGAAGGTCCGGTGTTCGAATCCCGGCGAGGGCACTGCACATTTTTCACTTACCCTGCATCGATAAACTGAATGACTCTAAAAGTTTTTAAATGCCCTTAAAATGCTGCAGATTTATAGCTAATAAAATGAAATTTATAAAACATATCTAAAATATAAGATATACTACAAAGAAGGTGTGTCTCGTTAATTTTCTAATACATATTTCATAAGTAAAACATAACTTTACTAACTGCACCATATTTTCTTTCATAAAAGTGTGAGTTCGGAATGTTTTGTTCTTGGAATTGCAAAACACAATGAACTCTCCAAGCAAGAAATTCCTATTTCTATGGCTAAATAATTTTACTTTACATTCAATAAAAGTATTTTAATGCTGTTTTCTACTTTGCTATTTGTTCAAATATGGTCTTGTAGAATAAATAAATGCAGCTAATGTTATTGATGCAAAGCCGAGCCAAGATATTTTCCTGTTCCGGGCAGAAAGTGTTTCGGCACCTTTCACTAAGATACTTATGCCATATAAGAATGAATTTTTTGACATATATGTCACTCCATTAAGTCTAGCCCAGCGCGACATAGGGCGACTTGTATACCCGGCTTGCTAATTCAACTCTGTATTGATGCTATATTCATTGATTATTATAGGAAACACATTTTGTATAAACTGTCATTACGTTTATAAAATGTTCATTATTGAGTTTAATTACATCAAGACGTAAGGCTTACCTCCATGCGACAGTACCTTCTTATATGGTTCTATGACTTTCATGTCAATTTTTCTTTCTTCCCCTCCAACAATGCAGGATTTCCAGTTGTTACCATCCATACGAATTTCTTCTGTTGCTGAAAATTTTTAATATGGACGGTAACATAAATGCATTCTAAAAAAAAAATCTAAGAAAAGCATCCGTACAAAAATAAATAGAAATCATGTGCCGCAAAAATATTATTTACAGTTTTTGGAAGTTAATAACAGAAAAACTATTAAAGATAATCTGATTGGACGGTTTGTAGTAGAAGGTGCAATGTCTGCATCGAATGTACGTATATAAGCACATGTAAGCATTGTATTATTTTGCATTCCATCACTGCCCGCCAGGTTGCAGGCAAAGCCGAGCCAAGATATTTTCCAGTCAGTATGATCAGTGTACGCTTATATCAGAGGTAATCATGTTCTCCTTCAAGCAATCTAAACGAATTAAAAAAAAATATTTGAAATCTGAGAATGGGTCAAGCATAAAGATGATTATTAAGCAAAGAATTGTATACTTCTCTACAATCACGTATCACAGTTACCAGGTTATGAGACAGATTTGAGCAGGAAGGATCTGTATATGATCTGAAGAAAGGCTGATATGGCAACAACAAAAGGATGAAATTTGAGGACGTTTTATAGACTGTTAGTACGCGCGCTTCTAAACCACAGACATGCGATGACATGAGACATGCAATTGAGACTACCTGTGCTTTTTCTTCCGTTGAAATCATATCCGCTGTTCCTGTTCTGTAGCAATACAGACGATGTACTTCTGCCACCGCTGTCAGTTTGGATATTTAAAACTTTATGTGACATCAATAAAAGTGAATACTTATTGTTCTAAATATTTCTCTTGTTAAAGTTCAAAGAGTGTAAGCAGTATTTTGGAATAACCTGTATTTGAAGTATACGCGTCTTAAACTTTTAAACAAAAAACGTGAGGTTTCTCTGACTTCTTGGGGTATAGAAATTTAAAAAAACTTAAAATTTCTAAAATCATGAATATTAAGATTTCCAGATCAGTTGATTCCTTACTTAGACAGCGAATAAAGATTGAGATTTTACTATAAGGAATTATAAGGGAAAAAATTAATAGGGAACTTACTATCGAACAGGTCGTCGTCAAGATCATCTGGAGTATCAATGTCGTCCGGCGTAGCTAGATCATCCAGTGGTGAAAGCACATCACTTTTATTACTGAGAGAATCCATACTCTTTTGATCATCATCATCCACGTCTTTTAACACATCAGAGGTCAGAACATCCGGATTAACAGTAATTTTCCTTCTGGAATCTGAGTTCCGGGCATTCGACGTATTCAGAGTTTTGGGTCGTTCTAAAAAATTGTTCTGTTAGGAAGTATCGAGAACAGACATGGATATTTTTCAACGCTAGTTACTTTAAGCTTCATTTCAATTAGATGCACATCAGCAAGGGGGGAATAACACATGAATGGGGGGTCAGCTAATTCCAAAATAAGCCTGGATTGGATGCGCAGCAGAAACATCGATAAGACAGGTTATTTTATTACCTATTTTACCTATTATTATTGACTTTCTATGCCCTGAAAATATAATTTTCTTTTTAATATGGCTAAACTTACATAAATACCAGTCGCAGAAATTTTAAATTAAAATATTCGTATTGATAAAAGCTATTAATTATTTTATGAGACTGGGAGGACTGAATGGCAAAAACAAGCATTTAATATTGTTACATATTGTATAGTACATTTTATTTCAGGACAGATGTGAATTCAAGTGTGAGCTTATGCAAATCATTCACGTATGACTCAGAAGTACATAATGACTGCAAAAATGGAATGAGTGCCTATTTGCAAAGCATGTTCATATTTTTTCATTTGAAGCAACCCCCTAATGCTACAATGCATTTTCTCGGTCTTCTAAAAGCTGATTTTTCTCTCTTAAAAAAAGGTGTGTATTAGGGTGCGTATGCGCTCTCGAACACTTATGAGGACATCGGGAAACATGTGGACTATACTTGGCATGTGACAGCATTTGCTACCTGCCCATATAGGACAGACATTGCTTTTCAAATTGTCTGCCAAGTCTGGTCAAAATTTGAAAGTTTGAAATGCTTTTCCCTACTAAAAACTTAGCAATAATCCTTTATTCCGTGGATGGAAGCACTCCTTATATATTCATCCCTCTAAGGCTCTGACACATGCGATACATGCGATTGACAAGATCAAATTTTTACTACGTTGGTTGTAATATCCAAGATCTTTTCCTATCCAAGATCACTTACTACACTGCAGTGTGTATCCAAGATCACTTTCTACACTGCGCGAATCCAGTATTCATATTTGAATGCTTTGATAACAGAGAAATTGCAAGCATTACTTATGGCTTTTTATTTTCTTCCAAAGAATAAGAATGCTTGTGACAGTTACGTTAGAGATCTGGATCCTGAGAAAGGCCAGTTTACACCTGAGAAAGTACTTTACTTCAAACTTAAGATAAATAAAAAAATTATAATGATATTAGATCTTGTAAGCCCTGAACTCAAGGTTCGATATGAAGAATTTTTTTTCGTTTTAGTTGTTGCTTTAGGATACTCACCTTTATGCCCTTTGAAAAACGCGGACCTAAAAATAACAGGAACCTATGACTAATTAATGAGATAAATTAGCAATGAGATTGCGTGAAACACAAGATTAACGTGCTTTCTTAAAATCTAGAAATAACTATTTCCGTATGGTTTTGCCATAAGAGGAACATGTACTAAAAATACTGGAATGAATCAAAAAATTAGAGTTACTGATAGTTTAGCAGCTTTATTTTTTAAAAAATCACTGACACATTTAATTTATGATCGAAATAAAATATAAATTTGCTTAAAGTGGAGTAATTGCGTCAGAACTACACGAGTTACTAATTTGATTTGTGAATAATAAATTTAGAATAGTAAGAAAATATAATGTTAATAGAGAAGTCTGAAATTTTTTCGGGGAGAAAAACTGGACTCTTCCGTTAAACATATTTTTCTGCCCACGTAAAAAGCCTTATTTGCAGCTTAATAAAATTAGAACTTTTGCAAAATATTTCAGTTTTGAAATTCATCTAAATCTAAAAAAATAATCTGACCCTTCCTGGAGCGATGCGGGTGATGGTGGCCTTTACCCATGATGGAGAATGTCGTTGATTCTTCTTCATCATCGTCTTCAGTGTCAAGACCCTGAAATATATATTCCTTGAAAAATTCTGGCGATGATTATTAAAACTTTACATTTTCAAAAATAAAGTGGTATATTATCATGCAGAAATAATTTTTCACAGATCGTTAGAGTCTCTAAAAGAGATATGATTTTTGTGCCCGCTTTTGATTGAGGAAGTTAAGCTATTTAAATTGGTGGTTCTTAACCTGTTTTGCACCATGCACCCCTTTCACTATTTCTAGATCATTCCCCCTCCTTTCCCGAATTCGAAAAATACGTAAGCACACATTTATTTAGATTTAGATGATTTTTTATGTGCTATAAAGCACATAACTAACAAAACAAAACAAAAAAACTAAACAAAAAAAGTATAAAAAATGTTGATAAATACTAAAACTTCCTTAAAATTAGTTTTATATATTCTTTAACTGAAATTAAATACTTAACAGTCAAATAAAAGGCTGACCACTTCCCTCTTGAAATTCCTTTCTAAAGAGAATTTTCCCTTTGTTGGGAACCTCTGATGTAAACCAACAAAAAATATACTTGGAATAAAGTTAACCTGAAAACAATAGGAATATATAGTGACATGTTTATGTTCTTCCCCATGTCTGAATCGAGTTTGAACTATATTAATTAAAAAGTCTTCCACGAAGGCATCATCCCCCTTATTAATATGATAACTGTCGAGTGTTTCTCATCATAATCAATTATAACAACCACTCCACTGCAAGCTCTTTATCGTAAAACGTAAATCTTCAACTTTTGTTCATTAAATTTAAATAATCTGCTACTGGCCTTTATTTTTCCCCCTTAAAAAAGGAGATCATGTTATTCCTTGAGTCTTATAAAACGAGTCAAAACTTCAGTGAGTTTCGTAAAGGCTTTTCAGATGCTTATGTCTTAAGGGGAAATATATGCAGTCTACATGCCTTACCTAATTAACAATTTTCACTTTGCTACAATTTCGAGAAAACTGAAGAAATAAAATTAGACAGTTGATTGTAAGCAATCGGGTTAATTAATAAATTTTCTTCTAATTAGAATTCGAACTTGTAGCAAAAATTAATTTGGGTAGGGTCGTACAAATCGTAATCGAGAAGTTCCCGGCTTTGCATGGGGCTTCCAAATCATTAATTAATTTTATATTAATAAATACACCGAATGTCTAAAAATAAGGACTACACACTTCGTAATTCCGGCACTGTTTGTTATAAAGAATTACATCCCAAATGAGTTAATTAAAGCAAATTTATTTTATTGTTGGAATCAGTTTCAACAGCAAAATAGGAATAATAATAAAATTATATAAAAGCTAGATTTTAATGAACAATTTTTTTTTTCCATTTCATATGATAGAAGTTATTTTAGTGAGTCGTAGCAACTGAAGCTTTACGGAAATTTTTATTGATCTTTATAAGAATTTTGTCTCGCTTTTTCTTTTCTCTGAGCTTCTAAGATCACCTAAGGATCAAACCTCTTTTTGTTTAATGTTTGTTTGATAAGAGTTAGTTATTAAATTCTGGAGTTCATATCCATTTTAAAGGAACAGAAATAAACTAATTCAGCAACTGATCAGATTTGTAGTAAAATTCAAAAGTATAATACGCTCAGAATTTTTTTTCCATATTTAGCATTAAAAATATATATACATGAGTATTATATTAATGATTATATCTCCTAACTAATTTTTGAAATCCATATTCTACTCTGAAGCTCTTGATACTGCACTCACCATGTAAAAGGTACGTATATTGACCTCAGAAGAGATACATAACTCGTATACTGCAACTATACGTGTAGTTTCTGCATTGTGGAGTACAATGCATAATTACGGATAACAGAATTAAAAAGCATTCATAGCATACCACTAGTTTCCAAGCTGTAATAGGGCCCACCAGCGGCCGAGCGGTAAAGATGCTGAACACTGGTAGTTCGGTCCGCGGTTCGAATCCCTCGAACGGGCTGGCTGCATGGGCGTTTTCGTGGTTTTTCCCATGTGTAACGTGTATACGAGTCAGTTTCCCTTAGAAAGTCATCCACGAAGGCATCCCTCCCTTTAGACAGATAGCCCTCGTGTGCTTTGCCATAATTAAGTAATCCAATCTAATCCAGTCCAAGCTGTATTAGCATCATTACATTACTGTTACTCTTCGTCGCCATAATTACTGTAAATAAGAACGTTTTTTGTACCAAAGCTCGCACTAATGAGAACAGAAGGAATGCTGAAAGCAAAGTGGAAGGAAATCTGCGATTATTAGTTTGGGCGATTACGGAAAAGCGCTTGATGGTTATCTTACATATGGATGGATGTCTTCGTGAAGGACTTTCTAACGGAAACTTTACACCGCTGAGATGACTTTCGATCCAGGCGTGAACGTCGCTCAGAATTTGAGCACCATCCTAGCGAAGAGAATCGAATTACCTGCCAAACCACAGTCTAGGTTCGGAATGGCAAACCAGACAGTATCTGATGCTGTGTTTAACTGATACATTTAATAAATAAATAAAAAAAGGGTGTTACAATCCTTAATGTTATAAGTGTGTTACAAAGAAATGTGTCATTGCATTAGCATAACAGTACATATTCAGAAGATAGCTAGAAAGCAGATAGAAACACACAAAGCAAATAGAAACACAAGCAGATAGAAACACACAAATACATTATACACGCATATCTACAAAAATGCACCTATAATTTGTATGATTAAAATGAAGGTGCAACCGTTCACATACCCAGTAGCACATAGAGCTTACTGCTATTTCGCCCTTTCCCGTTTCATTCCCAGCTTGAAATAGCGTTTTTTCATCCGCAGCCTTCTTCCTACCCATTTTCTCTTTCCTGTTTCATCCACTGTTCGAGAAGCCACCTTGCGATAAAGCGAACTCCTGTTTCGTACACCAGCTTCCGTACCCAAACAGATGAATTTAAGTCAGCAGTCAAGTAATACGTTGCTGGCTCTTATTTATGTTACACATGAGGATGTCCACGAAAAGACACATGCAGTCGCCTCGTTCGAACTACCAGTGCTCATTGATCGAATCAGTCGAATCAGTAGTGATCAGTAGTTGAGTGGTTCGAACTACCACTCAACTACTGATGGGCATGGAATTGGATTTAACTACCCGAACCGAGCACTAGTGCGTACATACACGCATATTGTTACAATCCTTACATACATGGAAACATCCTTACATCTGTAAATACATGGAAACATCCTTACATCCGTACATACATGGAAAGATAGCTCTGAGAAAGTCTGCACGCTGTGTGTACCACACTTTGTCGTCACTCGGAAAACATGCCGAAACGTGGACCTTTCTTTTTGTTTCGCAACAGTAAACCGCAGATACTGAATCATCGGATACTGGGCAAGATGGTATATGAGATTTATTTTAATTTCACTAATGAACATATTTGAAAAACGTATTTAAACCGGTATGGGTAAGAAAATAAAATCAGTACAAATTTCGGATTTTAAAGGATGTTTCATTTGCTGAACATTAATTGACAGTTTATGGGGTATAAGGAAACATTCGAAGCATCATACTATTTTTATAACCTATTTGCTTGTAGTGGGATCATAATGTAATGCTTTGAATTTCCTCATTGCTAATAATACAGTAGCATCATTCTTTTACAAATAGCTCAGTATAGAAAACAGAAGTCTTTTCCTGTCCATTATTACAGCATTTCGCATAAACAATTTTTAATTCTTGCGCTGAGGTAGAGCGAAGCAGCCTTGTATAACAGAAATTATTTACTAAAGGAATCTTACACTGAGATTCGCTATGTGTTTATTTTTCAAGTAACTGTGACATCATTAAAGTAATTTCGGTTAAATTTAATTCAGTGAAATCGGGCAAAAATTACCATCTTCCTACACTGGAAGACTTATTTTCCTTCTAAGTCAGTGGTGTGTTGTGCTCTCGAGGACCCTTTTAGCATGAAATATATTTTACGGAACTCTTAATTATTTATGCTTTTGCTTAGATAGTTTCATATATGCAAGTTACTTTTATTTCGATACTGGAATTATTAGAATCTTAAGTTTAATTTACAAGCTTGTAAAAATTAGCTTTGTAATAGCAATTAAAATATTGGAAGTATAACATTTTTTGTGAGTTTCTATTGCAGTTTTATTTGGAAGGAAGAAGCACTTTCTATGTCATTCGATGTGCAAAATCTGAACTAGCTGTTTGAAACGAGTAAACATAAACTTGATTTGATATCCAATTACTTTCGAATTGGTTTTAATGTACTCAAGGTTTGAAAAAGTCCTTCTGAAAGAGCATATTGTGTGAAAGGAAAGCAATATAGCTTTTAATAGCTTTTCTGCCAGTTCTCAATATAAACTCTTATTGCAAATGAAAACGAGAGTGATGTTATTTTGCTTCAAAGAAAATTTCATGGATTTCTTGCATAATTCTGCATGCTGGTTTCGTTTCCAAAGAAGTCAAGGTTTTTTATGTCCATGAAATCTTTTCGCAACGAAATTGCTCCTAGTGAAATAGAACAATAAACAAAATTTTAGCTTCAAAAGCCCTCGCTGTACACAGATTATTAGATCTTGTAACTCCAGGCCTCCGCACGTCGCAGTTAAATATCCGTGCGCTAACATATTCCTAAATGAGACAAGGAAAGCTTTTTGTATGCAGTCTGTGGGATATAGTCTTCTTAGCTATCAAAAAATGTAAGTAGATCTACTTAAAAGTCTAAGCTGCAACTTCTCGCAGACTCGAAGGTGAATACAGCGGGAAAAGAATTGAACACAATAGTTTACAGACGGCACAGACTTACGTGCTTATACAGTCACCGACAATTTGCGGTGAGGAACTAAACAGGTAATTTAACACTAAATTCAAAGGTAATTAGTGGTGAAAAACTACATAATTTGATATAACCCAACAGGCTAACGCAGAAACCTACACCTGCAGAATAATTATTTCTGCGGCAAGAATGTGAAGCCGATATTCAAAGTTAACAGATGGTAGAATTAACAACGTGGGCTCACAATAGCGAAACACGCTCTAATTAAACTTTTTACTACTTCAGTTAAATTACACTCTCGTTTACCTTAACTGATTTACATACTGAGGAGAAAACGCGAGGGGAATAAGAAAAGGCAGCGAAGGCTAACAAATTAAAACAACTATTAATAAAAATAATAGAACCCTACAAGTTGATCTGACTTTTACTGCAATTTCTAGTTTCTTAACCATATATTATCAAAGACCTTTATTACGGACAGATTTGCAGAGGAAATAGAGTTCAGGTATAATTGGTGAAAGACTTAATTGCTGATATAGCAACTGATGATCACACCATTTGGGATTTCTGTTGTTATTACAAACTGCTATTACTCATCCATTTGTTTCAGACGAACAATTTTTTCAAACAATTTTTCTACCTGCTTTATCACTGAAACTAATGTTTCCAGCTCTGCTAACATACTGCCTTTGGTCCGCTCACGAAACTAGGACTTCCATAACATAGTTAAACCCGCTGTGGCAGATGAATTACCACTGAAAGAAAGATGCACGGTTTTTTTAGGTTTTCAACAACCAATCAGCTGGCAGCATCGAATGCCCCATCATCAACTATTATTTGTAATTGAGAACTAGTTCCAATTTTGATATGATAACCCCAAAGTGACCCGAGGTAACTGGTTGTTTCATATTAGATGACAAATCAGAAAAATTGTTCTAAAGAATTGCTTTTTCAAAATGTATGATACGACGTTAAGAGCTATTCAAGGAACAGCAACATTCCTGCGTTTTAACAAGTTTATCTAGGTGTTTTCAGGAGCAAAATACAAAGAATTTTGAGCCGCTGTAGTGCAATTCCGAGTTTTAGTTCAAGGTAAACACCTTGATTCTTTGCTAAAGTGTTTACCATAATTTCACCTTTTAGCCTCCCTTTTCAAGTTTTATTTGAAGCAAATAAATTCGTTTTCAAGTTTGTTCAGGTTACTTCAGAAGAAAATTATGAGCCAATGTAGTACAAAACTTGCAACTAGTTTTAGCTGAAGGTAAACAGCTTAATTCTTTTCTAATTTGTTTACCTTCATTTTACCTTTTAGTCAGTCTTTTCTAACTTTATTTGAAATACTATAAGTTCGCTTCCTTCACCTTATGCTATGATTTGGGTATTAATTTTAGTAAGTTTTATAGGAGCTTTTAAATCGGAAGCTATGAAACTGTCGTAGAGGTGGGAGTCAAAGAACTCCGCCGACATATATCATTTAGCATTGGCCATTGAAGCACACTAGTGGTGGAGTTGCGACATCACGTGACAATATTGATCAGCTTGTTTTGAACGTCAAACTCTCATAGAGCTTGGGATGTGAGTTTGTCAGACGGGAATGTGGACTTAATAAATGAAAGATTTCATCAGATGGCGAGGATGGAGGGAGCACAAGACCAATGTTTTATCAGCAATCTGCTGCTCAAATGCTCTCTGACTGGTAATTCGCGGAAAGAGGTCTTGTTTTTTTTATCTTTTTCTCTCTCAGTGACTAAAAAGCTCAGGGCAGAATATTGTTTACCGCGGTAAAATTTCGTTGAAAAGACAGGCATACTCAAGACTGCATAAAAGTGTCACTCTGAGATTAAGCATTCTCCGGTTGGGAAATATAAAGGAATTATGAAGTAGCCTATAATAGCTAAATGAAATACATCGAATTTAAATTTCTAACCTGCCCATTGTGTGAAATAACTCAAATACTATGATTGCAATTAAGCTACAGCAACTCACTCGATTAATAATATTTGGGTTCTCTTCTCAACTTCTTTTATTCATTCGTTTTTTCACATACTTCTAGAGAAAGCGGGTTATATGAAAGCTATGCCAAATGAAGACATGCTAAATGTTTAGCAGAATAAAAAAAGAGATAATTTTATTAGAGATAGGAAGCTTACGCTGAAGCAAGTATGCTACAAAAGGTAAGCCCAAGATTATTTATAAAGTGCATTTTTACTGCCGAAACTTTAAAATAATGTGCTTGTGAAGCAATTTTAAAATAATCTTTTCAGAAAGAAGAATATTGGACATGCCATTCAACTGTCACTTTTACAGGCATGGAACCAACTCTCATTCATTGATAAAAAAATATTACTTCCCTTCATTATCACCAAAAGTAAAAGTACTATGCTTTTGACTAGCGTAAGTCTGATATGAGTGTTTTTCACGCTAAACCAATAGAAATGATAATTAATGCCAATGTAGAAAATTGTTTTAGTATCACAGGCAGTGCCAATCCTAGACCGTAGGCCGCCTACGTGCAAATTAAAACTGGCCGCCCTTTTTCACAGAAATATAATATGCCTGATGATCATTTCGCAGATCACGTACTATGCACCATCTTGACCCCTCGTTAAGATCGGCCCTGATCACAAGAAGCCAGAAGTCTTTGAAGTCCTGAATTTGAACTTACTGGCTTCTTTCTTCTATTCATATGAACCATAAACGAAGCATTTATTAGTTTATATACAGAAAGTAGTTGTGTAAAAATGAAATTACTAGAATAAGGAAGATAAATATTTAAAAAAACAGAAATAAATAAAACCATCTTTTTTTCTGTGTAAGTCAAGAATTATTATTTAATAAGAATATGAGTCATCCATTTTACTTGTTTGGGGAACTTAAGGTAATTAAACCAGAAATACTTTTAAAAAACTGTCATCGAACGAAATTTTATGGTACCATTGGCTCCGTTTTCTCCAATAAAAATTTTTCTATGCCCTGATAATGGATGCCGTCTAGTCTGTAGGCTCGGCGCCTGGGCTGCGGTTTGACAAGCAGTAGTTTTTCTTTGCTGAGGTGGTAACAAACACTGTTTGGTTTACCACCGCAGCCTGAAGCCATCTTAACGGTGTACCGTCTATGTATAATAGCATTAATAATTTTTTCCTTTTTTCTTTTTTAATTCAAATGATCATGGGAACGTATTCGGTAGTGCATTTGAAATGGATAGATTAAAACTAGCAAACAGGAAAAGTAATTCGAATTAACAATCTAACAGAAGATTTTTAAAGATAACAATGGTTAAGAACATCAAGAACATATTAGCTTTTTTGTTTTCTGTGTGCTAATAAAAGCAGCAGAATTCTTGATAAAAGAACAGAAGTATGTCTTAGTGGAGAGCAGGAACAAGAAATCATTTACTGTACAAAATCCAGCTTCTAGCTATCTTTTTATCAACATCATATTAATTCGTTTTTTGCCTCAATTTTTTTACTCATTTTATCTCTTGAAAATTGAAAGGAAAAATTAAATAGAGCATGCCATTTTGTGGAAAAAGAGGGAAGACAAATTTAGCGGATTAAAAAGCACATACGAACAAATATACTAATATTAATGCATTCTGTGTTTTAGTTACAATGTTTACTTTTAATACTCTTCTTTTGATTTATGCAATGTATTTTGCTGTCTGTCTGTACTTAGCACATTGCTATCGTTGATTAAATTTTCTAAGCTATATTCTGAAAAATTAAACTGGGAATACTTCATAAGAAGAAATATGCGAGTAAGTAGGATAGCTAACAAGCCTCAGATATGTCTGGGCTAGTGACTACTTTTAACAGTTATCTTTAACTACAGACTCGAGTTAAATGAAAACTTGAACTTTAACTCAAAGCTTTTAACAACCACAAAAGTGCATTCAGTAACTAAAACTTACCAAGCCACAACTTGGCAGCAAACTGAAATGTTTCAAAATACAGTTTCTAATTTTAGACATTTGATAGAAACAACAATTCGAATTAAAAAAATATCAGTAAATATGTGGTAATATGAACTAATGCATTGATTGTGTACAATAAGTAACTAAATATACAATGAGCAATGAACTAAAAACCTAAAAGGAAAGCATCCTTCTTACTAAAACTTCCCTAACACAAGTAAAGCAAGCAATTAGTCACTTTCTATATTTATATATTATCACAATATAAATCAGTGCAAGTATGATAGCATCTGCAGACTCCAGTTAACCGAAGAAACAAATAAATCGAGCTGAAAAACAACACACGTACACTATCACCCCCCAAAACAAAATCTTATATCAAAGTAAAAATAGTATGCTTACTTGTGCTTCCCTGTTTCGTTTCTTCAAGAGTTTCAAGTGTAATGGGCTATCCGGAAAGTCTACTGTCTCTGCGAAGTAGACACCTCTGTCGTGGGAATCTTCTTCAGGCTCTGAATCCGAATCTTTACTACCGCTTTGCAAAGGATCTGAGAACTGGGCTTTCTCTAAGGTTTCTTCCTTTTCTGTGCCGCTATGAAAAGAATTATTTCATAGGTGACTCACGTAGCTTTCAAGCTGGTAACAAATTGGCTAATAATATCCATTTCACTTGGATCTCTATTCATAATAGATATAAACCATAAAAAAAGAACAAATTTGAGATTTAGAGACAATGCTTCTTCTAATCAACTATAAAGCAGAGATTTCCTTTTTACCGTAATTATAAAAATTATGAAGAAATGGAAGTAGGCAGAAAATAAATAGCCAAACCAGGCTAATAGAGGAGTTTATGCAGAAAAGTAAAACAAGTTTCATCCAGTACTGCTGAAGTCACATGTATGACGTACTCCATGTCCTGGATAAATTGATATAAAGATCACGACAGAGCTGCGGGATTAATAAATTGTCCATTTACTTTTATCCTTTCGTAGTGTATTTCACAGAAAATTTTGTATTTTAATTCTGTATGTAATCATAAAATTTGTTATTCCAGTTGGATTTTTCCTTATGTGGGGATATTCACTGGGTTTTTGTTGTGGCATTTGTGTTTAAGTTTTACTAAAGAAATGTTATTTAACTTAATTCTTTCTTTTCTCCCTCATTTCGCCACGAGATTCGCTCATTCGAAGATTTGTGCATATTTTGAGTGGCAAGAAGTTTTACTATAAAGTGTAGAATCTTAAGAATAAGAGTCTGAAGGTTAGGCCTGCTTACACTGTCCTGCCTGTCGAAGAAAAACCGTTGGTGACGCTAAAGCTTTCTTGCTGAGACTACTTTAGACTGAGGTTAGCTCCAGCTTTGTGTGCTCGAAATTCTTTCATGTCTAGGAATTCTTGCAGTGTCTGCCAAGGTTAGATTAAACTGTTGAATTTATTTTCTTTGTGAAAGGAAGCCTTGTAATGAAACCAGGTCCAGGATGACTGGTAATTTTATGTTCGTAAATTTTAATTTAAACACAAGTGGCGAGGTAGAATGAACTTGAAGCATTTTAATGCCGTGCATGTTTTTTGATGGTTGACTGTTCTGGTGGTGATAACTCACCGCCCAGAACAAACATAACATCGTAGGTTTATGGTAGTTGGCGCCGCTAAGTTAGTTGGAATCCACAGCACAGGTGTTGCAATGTTCCCGTCGTATGAGTCATTTGAAGCGCAAAGAAATTTCTACGCTCAGTCTTGCCTAAACTTTATGCATCAAAATATCAAGATGATTAATAAAGTATTTGTCGCATTCAGAATTTTGTGTAGAACTTGTGTATACATTTCCAAAGTGGTTATTACCAAATGAGTTCAAAGGGGACCAACTTGCAGGGATCGTTTTTTCTAGCTTTGGAAGGAGAAAATCGGCACAGTGATACTCTTGAACGGTTGCGACATGCAAATAAGGTGAATCTTCTGATAAACTCTATAATGATGTAACTTTCTACTAATGTGCTGCAGAATGATAAACGTTCTCCCTATGTCAGCTAAAGAATTTCTCTCTATCCAAGTCAGCGTGGAAATGTATGTCTGTTAAATGTATCCTTTTGAGCGGATGAAAATGAAAATATTTCTTTTATTATGCATTACAGTATTGGTAGCTTAATAGTTCAGAGAGAAACCTTTACGTCATTTTCTGGAAATTGTTAATTAAACACTTTACGTTTAACAACGAACGAATTTTAAAATGAAAATCTTTGGAACATTTTATACTCGAATATTTTGAAGATCCACAAATGTTTTAAACAGATATTTCTTATTTAATAAAATCTCATTTAACATCTTTTTTTTTTAATTTAACAATCAATCAGTTGCCAACATAATAATTTTAATTATTCTATTACTATTAATAAAATATTTTATTAATATTCTATACATATTAATTAATATATAATAGAATATTAATATTATTTTAATTCTCTCTTCGTATCTTAATTCTTGTGTACCAAGTTTAAGGGCATGTGCATTTTTTAAAGTATCTCATTTAATAAGATGACATTTTGGTAAAAATATAAATACCATAAAGAGACATACAAATAAACATCTACCCAAGAATTATAATCGCAGAAAGGACAAAAGTAGATTAAGAGAAGGAACATACACACAAACCTATCAAGATTCCAAATTCATTACTTTTACAGCTTTTAAAACGCCTTTCTGTTACAATTATAGGAATGCTTTTTTAATATAAATTAATATTTTTCTGAGAGACATTTACAGATTAAAGCAATGGTTCTAAAATTATAATTGAATCTTCAAAAATAATTATTCTTATTATGTCGTACTACACTGGACGTGGGGGGGGGAAGGAAAAATTTACATATATGAAAGCAAAATTGTATTTACAGTTCCCGATATTTATAAAAGTTGATGAAAATAAAAAAAATTAAAATTGATATTTAACTAAATTTAAAATTAAAGAAATTAAATAAGGTGAATCTCAATTTTAGCTTATTTATTATACGCCGTCTTACCTACTTCGATACGACGCGTCAATTAGCTAGATATGACGCGTAAATTAGTCTATCTAGTGTTCTAAACATTGCATTGCTTATTAGCTACACCCGTCCTCAAAGAATTAAATGTGTGAAGATACCGCAACACTATTGAATAAGCTCAGTATCATGCATTCATAATTTTTTTAATAAAAACTCACAAGAATGAAAGTAACCAAATGTTAGATAATATAGATTCAGATTCTCTAGTAAGAAAACATTGGAACAGATAAGGTAAAAATTGGGGAGATAGAGATTAGATAAACATTGGGGTAAAACGTTGGACGGGGGGGGGGGAATAATTATTACGGAATTCCTGATGTTAGGTTAATATTGAATTCATGATACTAGGCTAATATTATATGATGTTTATTTATACTGAAACTGATTTATAGTGAAATAAATTCTAATTTAATGAAGAAGTTTTCGAAATTTCTTTCTTATCAAATACTTTCAATTTTTATTATATTTTTTAACAAATTAGCTTTGCAATTTAAATTTATAATGCTTAATTACTCACCAGTCCTTAGATGTTTCGCAGCTTTCCGGTGAAGCTTTTCCACTTGCAATATCTGCGTCATAATCTTTAGGTTTTGACAATCGGTTGTTTTTTAGCACAACACTTGGAGTCAAATCATCCGTCATTCTGCAACGAGTACAAAGGATTCTTGTTCTCAGTTGTCAAAACTATAATTACAAAGCATTGAATAACGAGGGTATAAAATTAGTTATATACAGTATTTTTTCAAAAAATAAGTTGGAGTTGGAAATTTGGGCAGTTTGTGTGTGGGGAAGATCTGACTGATATTTGATAATACAACTAACCCTTAAAAAACCCAGCGTTGAATCACGCAAGTCCAGAATTTGCAGATTTTTTTCTTAATAGATATTGGAAAAAATATATCGGAAATACACCAGACAAATTTTGTAACTTGCAAACATTAAAAAGAATTTTAAACTTAAATGTATCAGAAGTGCGTAGCATGTACAAGCATCAGTGTATTTCATCATTTACTCTTAAACATTAATTTGGTGCAATAATTTAAAATTTTCCCAGATGGTAGCAGTAGTAGAAGTAGTAGAAGGTTAGGTTAGGTTATCTCACTATGACAAAGCACAAGAGGATTATTTGCTTAAGGAATTGGATGCCTTTGAGAAGGACGTCCTAAGTGAAATTGGCTTGCATTCACGTTACATAGGTACAGGTTGAAGCTAGGCCGGCAGCAGTGCATTTCCTTAGGTTATATTAGGTATCGCCGGGCCTTTGTCACTGTTAAGTTCCCGCCTGAGTTTTGAGGGAAAAAAAACCGGGGTGCGCTACAAGGGTCTCCCGCTCTCTTCCAATACCATCAACTTTTCTCGTGAGGATGCTCAGCTCGCCGTGTATTTTGAATGCTTCCTTTGCCGCATAGACACTATATTCTTACAAACACCCATGCATTCTTCGGGATTCGTACCTGGGCCCATAAGTATCAGCGTCAAAAATCACTATACCAGTTGGACGCCATTCACAGGGGGGGGAGACTAACGTGCAGCCAGCCGTTCTTCTGAGCTCAAACCAGGTCGACATATCAGTATTACATGGTTTTAATCCTTCGGTCACTCGCAGTGAGAAAGAGTAAACTGGCGTTAAGATAAATGATATTTGCATATTATTAACTGTTACATATATTGTGCTATTGCAATATTATCACAGCCACCTCTTGTTTCGAGTATTGTGGTGAACTTAAATGTTATAGTATCTACTTAATAAAAGGCCGTTGGGAAATTCATCAATCCAGTAAACTGAGCTTTGCAGTGAAATGTAATCTTCCGTAGTACTTATTTCTTATCGCATTTCGAACAATCCTATAAAACTTATGCTGTACAAGAAGTCCCGTTCGTAGTTCCACCCAAGAAGTAGAAAAGGGTCATGACATTTAAAAAGGGGGAGGACTGAACTGTTTGACATGTTCTGCAGTCTTTTTTTAAATGCAAAAATATTTTTAGTATTCTATTACGAAAAGGCGTGTAATCTATATGTTGTAAACATTTTTACTATTCATGATTATGGTTTTTGGTTTCCTATGATTACGGCAAAACCTCGAGGGCCATCTGCCTAAGGGGAGGGATGCCTTCGTGGAGGATTTTCTAAGGAAAACTGGATCGTATGCACATTAAATACGCAGAAAACCACGAAAGTATCCCTGTAGCCATTCCGTTCGCAGGATTCGAGCCTCAGACCGAACTGCCAGTGTTCAGCGACTTACCGCTCGGCCGCTGGCGGGTCCATTCACTATTATGAAGTAATAGTATCAATTATAGTATTTTCATCACTCTTATAAAGCATTCATATTGTCATTACGTTTTTATGAATGCATGAGCCTTGTGAACGTGTAAGTAAAGTTTCATGTTTTTCTTTTTTCAAGGTATCTTTCCAAATTTTACTTTCTAGAGGCAATCATACGCAAAATCTATACAATATTTTGCATCTCAAAAGAGAATAGTTATGTCGATACTGACAGGTAAACGCTTCCCCTCGTAAACGACACGAATTTAAACTATACTGAAGAAAATAAAGCACTGTTCTACAAATGCATTTTCTCTTCCTCATGATCCACTGTCTTAAGGAATTTTACTTTTTTCTAGTTTACTTTAGTAAAAATACAGCATATAACATCTGAAATATGAATTCAGTTCCCGAGTTCATATTATCAATAAGTGGATTTTTAGGTGTCAAAATCAACTGTTATTCACGTGTTAGTTATAACTTCAGCTTGATGAGCTAGGCTAATATCATATATTTTCTCGAAATTTTGGGGGTAAAATTTAACCAAGTCATCTCAAGCTGTATATAACAAGGAACATGAGAGGGAATCGATAAAACACGAGAAGAAATATGTACATGAGAGGAAATAAATAAAACATAGTCTTATGAATCATAAGATTCTAAACTTTCCATATGGTAATTATGGAGTTTGGCGCTTTAACATCCATTTGGCACTTTAACATTCATTTGGCGACTAACATTCATTTGGCACTTTAGTATTCATTTGGCGACTGGCGTCCCGTTACCAAAAATATATCTAAAAGTGGGAATGAATCTCTATGAAAGGAGTTTACTTTTAATCAAATTAAAATTCGCTTTATGAAGAAACGTCATTTAAATAAATTTCACTAGACGATTATTGTTTCAAATCTTTAAGCCTCCAAACCTTCAGTGGCGATATTTTCTATAAGATCTATAGAATATGTGAGTATTTAAAATGAGTATTAGCGTTTTATTCTTGGACTTATATTTCAAACAGAAATGTCTATCCGCATGAGTGTTTGGAGGTTTTTCTCCTGTTTAATGCACGTATGGCATAATTTCTTTTACCCCTTTAGAAAAACGTGTAATCTGAGAGATACAGCTCTGATGTATTTTACCACAGTTGAACACTGAATCTGATGCTAATGACAAAGAATGCGTGTACTTAGGAGCGCAGTGATGCAAAATTTTGTAACAATATAAGAAATTTTTCATTACTTTTGCATGCGTAATTGTTATATATCAAAAGTATATAATTTCACTAGAATAAAATAAAACTTCAAAAATAATTGAAAGCATTTAAAATATTTGTAAACCAAAATTAAAGAATCCGGAGAAAGAGTAAGTGAAGATATCAAATTCTTTCGCAATACCAAGATATCAGAAAGCTTCTAAGGATAACACCAATTTTTTTTATTTATTTCAGAGATAAACGAGACTTGTGCACGCAGAAAACTCATTACTGTACGTTTAAAATAAGAAAAGCTGAATTCAAAGCTTTTTTTTTTTTTAATAAACAAAACCTCTCTAAGCAAAACTTTAGCCAACAATGCTTTGTGGGGATTTGTTTTTATTATATTAGTTAAGGAATTTATCAGATGAAATAGCCATCTAATAAAACTGTGATGGATGAAATGTTAGCAAACTTTAAAATTAAAGAACATTTAATCCTAATCTATAATTAGTTTTATAGTAAATCTGTATTCGGTTTTTGGTGTTCTGACACAAGTCATCTTCTTTATGTGCAAAAATGTTCTGCCTAACTTCCTAAGCAAAGTTTCCACCATTTTATTCCATTTTTTGCTTCCTTGAATAAAAAGGACCTGAGGCATATTCTCTTGAAACGCATTGAACTTTTCTATAAAATTAACACCAATAAAAATTAAATTTTGCCTAATTTTGAAATACACCTAGTCATCGCAATCAGTCGCAAATAAAAGTTCAGTGACTGGAATTTAGAATTTGCGACTTTTTCTGAGTCATTCGCTTGCGATATCTCAAGACGTTCCCATTTTTGTGAAGAATATCTAAATGATTTAACTACCTAGGTTTCATCCAGTAATAAGAGTAACATTACAAGTATTAAAACTCAGATCCCACTAGGAAAATAACATTAGAAATGTTTAGCCACAAGAAGGACTTAAGAGGCAAAGAACGAATATAAGCAGAAAATGAATATATATATATATATATGTGTGTGTGTGTGTGTGTGTGTGTGTTATATATATAACACACACACACATATGTATTGTATTTCAAAACACAGTTTCTCAAATCTTTTGAAAGTGTATAAGGCAGTATAATTCTTCATTAGAGAATTAAATTTGAGGAGGGAAAATGATTAAGCCGTCATCAATCAAATGCAAATTTCAGTGACACACCTTTGTGGAATAACTTTTGATACGCAAAATATACACTGTTTAAGACAATTAAGGAGTGTAATGATTCTGCGTGTAAACTGCGGATAAGGAAATGTTTTGCTGACTTATATGTGATGTACAGGTGTTGTAGGATATGAAAAAAGAAGAAAAAGCAAGGAACAAGGAATAAATAAATTTTATTGACGAGATTTGTCGGTAAACAAAAAGGCACAATTTGTGCAAATTATACGAACAAACAAAAAATTTTATTTCTCAGGTACAAATGAGTTTAAATAAGGAGTAGGGTTTACCCTGACCGAAACCAATGTCTCACACCTAGAAGGCATGGAATCAATGAGTTAGGTTATCAATGAGTGACAGGCGTTTTCTTACCTACTCCTGTTAGAAGAGAGTTTTTCAGCTGTTGAATTGTTTCTGGAAATGATAAGCGACTAGCAACCATTTTCCGTAGAATGTCCTAAACATGTTTTATCGGGTTCAAATCTGGAACATTATAATTTTCTTTTTTAACATCTTCTATTTAATTCTGGTTAAAAGAGTCGTCGATTATATGGTTATTTCATACCAAAATCACAATAGTCTTTAATTGTTTTGAGTAGTGTATCTTACGTTTGCTTTACAGCGCCGCAGCGTTTGGTATATATTGGTTTATTTCTTAAACAACAGCCCTTTAAATATCCTCGAAGCTGCGAAAAAGATGTCTGAAAGCAACAGTACATTAACTGATGAATTGTCCTAAAAATCTGTCCATCTGAGTTCATGGAGATGACACAACGTGTTGGATTTCATGGCATATAAGATCTACGTGTGAACGCAGCCCAATATTATCCTCGTCTGTGCACTTTACAATCTGCTTGCCATTGTTGTCCCTGTCCGTGATCTTTACTGTATCATAACAAATTTTCATCAAATGTTTCGTATAACTGGCAGACATGGAAATCGAGAAATTCATTCCGATAGCACAGAGCAATCAAA